TCATATTTATAATGATAACTTCATAATCATCCTCCCATGTAATATTCACTGACCATAAATGTAGAATAAATATAGAAAACCAAAGTTTTGGTGAGTAGTAAATACAAAGCATGTTGATCCAATCAATGGCATCATGTTGCATTTATGGCCCATGTCATCTCCACATGATACTGAGATGGGTTAGTTGAAATCCTCGATGGGGCTACCTCAACGAAGAAAGAGGTATTTAATCGGTGAAGGTATCATAATTGTAGCATGAGATCCATAGTCTACCGTCACCGTCAAACGTTAAATAAATCAGTGATGTCACGTTGCATTCACAATCTATGTCATCTCCATATTAATATCAACACTGATATGGGTTTGTTGAAATCCTCAGGGCTATCTCAATAGAGACAAGTTGTTTAATCGATGAATATGTCATAGTTGTAGTATGAGATCCATTATATCATCATCAAGTGCTAAATAAATTAGTAATGTCATGCTACATTCACTACCCGTGTCATGAATGCTGACACTAAGATTGGTTGATTGAAGTCCTCAACGGGGCTACCTCGATGGAGGCAAGGTATTCAATCGCGTGTCATAATTTTAGTATGAGATCCATAGTCAACGATCATCGTCAAGCACTAAATAAATTAATGATGTTATGTTGCATCGTCAAGCGCTAAATAAGATTTCATATTGAAAATACAATGGTGAATTTAAAAAAACACTTAGTTTTTAATTTTTTCTCAGAAAGTATCCTGTACAGTTCTCTAACAGCGTCCTTTTTTTATACCTAGAATATTCTCCTTTTCCTATGTATTCTATTTTATTATAATATTTTTAACTATATTATAATATTTTTAATAATATAAAAAACTATAATTTAGTTAAAAAATACTACAACACAATGTTTTTATATATTTTTTATAAAAAATATTTGTGATATTTTTATATTATGTTATAGTGTTTTTAACAATATCAAATAAACACTAAATATATAATTATATTGTTGAAAGCACTGTAATGTAGTATAAAAATATTATAAAAAAGAATATTTTTGGGAATTCTGGAAATAGTGGACACGTTCAAGAAAAAAAATCTAAAAATAGAGTTTTGTTTATAGTTTGCCCATTAAAGAAAGAAAACACTATTTAATAAAAATATTTGAAAACTATTGGTCACACTATAATAATATTAAAAAATTTAAAGTATGAGATAACACAACCTAAATCTTGATCCCAAATCAAGAAGAGATCAACATTAATTATTTATTTAAAATTTGCATGGATATATGCACAAAACTCAAATTGTGAGGATACGAAATTTTATTATTATTATTATTATTATTATTATTATTATTATTATTATTATTATTATTATTATATTAACAATTTAAAATCACAAAAAAAAGAATCCCTGGTAATATCTTCCCTCTCCTCCTCATCTATCATTTTTCGGTAGAGAAGATGACGCCACGCGGCCAACGCAAACCCACTCGAACGTGACCACAGAATCCAACTCCAAGGTTCTCCCAAATACACCGAGGCCACCGAGAGAGGAGGAGGGCAGCCGCCGTGAGTGACTTCTGCTTCACAGCGTCCGCACATAAGCCGCCATGGCCTGCACCACCCAGTCCATCATATCCGCCAACAGCTGCGTCTTCCCCTCTCCCAGGACCTTCAGGAAGCCACGGTGGGTGAGACCGCACACGAAGCTCTTCGCCGTGAACGCATCCTCTGGCTCCGACGACTCCGACTGCAACGCCGAGGAGTGTGCTCCGGATAAGGAGGTATGGTGTCCGCTTGATTCCTGTTCTGCGCATGCCATTATTTAGCTCCTCCCTTTTGATGCTGTGTTCACCTAGTTTTCGACTCCTCTGAGGCCTGCATCTTTGGATCTTATCGGACCTCATTTTATCATATGCTCGATCTTGTCAGTGGATGTCATGACATGGTTCTTGCAAGGATGTAATTAATTGTGTGACATTGATGTATTAATCATCAGAATTGACAGTTCAAATCACTGGACTATTAATCATCAGAACCTCTATGCTTATTACCTTTGAGATAAGAGTATATGCAATCATATCCTGCAATTTGTAATGTATGTATGTATATATATGTTTCTTTTTGGATTTTGTAATCATATCTCTATGCTTTGTTACGATTGGATTTTTGACCAGCGAGGGAAGAGAACATGTCGCTTCTGAAAGGATTTTGGATTAGATAGTGATGAATAATGTGCCTAGGATTATTCTTGAAAGGAAAAATCTTGTCATTGTTGACAACATGAGTGATGAATTTGGAAACTATGCCTCGACCCTCTTTTAGTGCCAAAAAATAAGTATAAGAACCAATGATGATGAAAAAATTAATAGAAATATGCTCGTGAATCTCGATTTATGGAACATAGTAGCGCAGTCCATATTTGATTTTGACATAAAATTCAAAAGTTTTATAAGACAATTGTGAGACTAACAATTCTTTATTGATTTGAGTGTTGGATATTTAAAAAATAATATATACAAAAATTTTGTGTTGCCGAGATGACAATGTTGAGATGGATATGTGGAGTTACTAGGAAAGATAGGAAAAAAAAATACTTTTATTCGTGAACAATTAGGTATAGAGGATAAGATGAGAGAAAATCGTTTAAGATGGTATGCGCATGTGCTTAGGAATCCTTCGGATGCGATAGTCAAAAGAGGTGAAATAATTAATGTTAGTGGTATGATGAGAGGTGAAGGAATACTTAAAAAGACTTTAATAGAAATTATAAATAAATATTTAAGTACTCTAAGCTTAACTAAATATATGATTTTTTATATATCTCAATAGTGAAAAAAAAAAACCATGTATCCGAATCCAAATAGTTGGACTTACGACTTTGTTATTGTTATTATTGTTGTTGTTATTGTTGCATTCGAAAATTTCTTCTTTATTTCATTTATGAAATGAAATAATAGTTAATTTTATTTCTTTAAAAGGCAAAGAAGATAGACCAAAGCATAAGCTTATTTCATTAAGTTTTGTAGGTCGGGAAGGTCAGCATGGAATGGTTAGCCGGCGAGAAAACAAAAGTGGTTGGGACATTCCCACCTCGCAATCGAGGTTGGACTGGTTATGTCGAGAAAGATACTGCTGGACAAACAAACATATACTCAGTTGAGGTTTGTGTTTTTTTCCCCTGAAAGTTATGCGATAAGTAAAACTCAACCATTACAACCATCATGTTTGTACATGTACTTATTTGCTTGTCAAAGTTCTTCAATTCTTACAACAAAGTTATACCTAATTAGCAATCCTGAAGTTGTATTTGAACTATTAAAATGCAAATACGCTTCATCCTAAAAGACTAACAAGTTCCAAAGTGGTCATCGTTGGCCAACAGAATAGCATAGGATAGATAATCTTGCCGGTTGTGATTGACTGAAAAACTTTGAACTTTTCTATATCTATTGATCTTCTAGATTATTTATGAATGAAGTCAATAGTGTTGCTACTAAAAGAAAAGTTATCTTTCTTGTAGCCCGGAAGAGAATTAATTTTAAGCATTTTGTAAGATGGCTTATTGTTTTATGATGCAGTGGTTCATTGTATCCTTCAAATATAATTGACATCATGTTAATTGTAAGGTATTCATCATGTACAGAAAATATGCAAATCTAAATAACTTATCCAAGCTAAACTTATAAGGCCTACAAATTATATACACATATATAGAGAGGAATTAAATGTTTTGGAATGTATCCTAATGCATAATCAATAAAGTGAAGTGATAATAGAACAAGAAGTCTGTTTTTTTCGTTCTCACCAAATCCATGTTCTCCAGCCTGCAGTTTACGTTGCAGATAGTGCAATAAGTTCCGGGACTGCAGGAACATCAACTGAAGGATCAGAGAACACTCTTGCTATAAATGCTGGTTTAGCCCTTATTTCGATTGCTGCAGCCTCATCGATACTCCTCCAAGTCAGCAAAAGTCAGCCACAAGTACAGATAACAGAGTATTCCGGACCACCCCTCAGTTACTACATCGACAAGTTCAAACCGGTGCAGATCGTTGAAGCTTCAGCACCGGCCGCACCTCAAACTTCTGCACCCGTCGAAGCTTCTGTTCCTGCTGAATCTTCGAGCTCTTCCACCGTTGAAGCTTTGGTCCCAACTTCCGAGTCACCATTGTCGACAACTATAGAAGACGGTAGCAAGCCAGAGGCAGTTCCTGAAGTTCAGGTTGCTCAAAGTGCAAGTGCAAGCAGTGTTTCCTAAGCAATCTTCCACTTTAGTCACTGAGTAATTTCTGTTCCACCAATTGTTTTTGCTGTATCATGCAGCTGCATCTGCTAATGAATATGAGAATGCTTGTTTTGGCATCCAAATCATATGTACCAGCTCTTAATGTGCGTGTCATATATAGAAGATGCTAACTTTGGTTGGCATTATGTTAAGATACATTTTGGAAAAATATTTACAAGTGCTGAACACAGATCATAGATTACTAGAACAGAAGCTTTCTACTGTAGTCGACCAAAGCAGTGATCATGATTCTTCACTGGTATGAGAGAGATGTAAGCGTCCAATATTGCATTTGTTTGAAGCTCATCTTCTCAACTTGGCTGTTTTATGTTCATGATCTTGTGTAGATTATGTCATTGTTTCAAGGATTTTCTGATTAAAGAAGTTTTCTTGTTTCTCTACTTCTTTTCTTTTTTGTCCTTCACTAAGATTTGTCTAAATAACACTAATAACACAGTGACAGAAGATCTCCAAGCACTGCCTGTTCACTCCATATGGGCAACAAGGTTCTAAATATTCATATACAGGAGAAAAGATGTTGCAAGGATTGCAATCTCCATATCCAACTCCTGCAGTTCTAATCCAGACTGGTACAAAACTGAGTTATACTAATTTACTATGTGAGTAAAGAGGAATGATAGGTTATATATAGACCATGTCCTGATAGAACTCCTAATTTTACTAAAACTCTTAAACCAACTTCTTCTCAAAATATAAAGTTTGCTTTAATTTCTAACATATAATGCTTCAGTCATTTTGCATCAGTTGTTTAACATGCATTCCTTGTTGCTGTTAATACTTTTTTTTAAAGTAGAATTAAGGACTTCATGCTGCCAATTTCTGGGCATTGATGTCTCACCAGAAACAATCTCAGTATGATCTGCATTTAGACATCTGTAGAAAAATTGAGATAAACTATGGCCAAGATGATTTACCTACAAAAAATATGCTCTGTTGAGAGCTCAATTCTATTTAACCAGAGCATGTCATACTCGAAAATTTCTAAGATCTGAAGGAATTATATTCTGACGTTGTTGCAGGTATGGCTATGATCCTCAAGATTTTGCCAAGTATGTGCACCATATCAACTGAGTCATCTCCCTTCGATCACATTTCTCAATGTTGATAAGCCATGATCAAGTAGAAAGACATTGGTGCCAAATCCTTCATTTCCATTGTGCAGATACCAAGCTTATGAGCTCATCCATGGAAGGTGGGCAATGGTTGGTGCAGCTGGCTTCATCATCCAAGAGGCAGGCCTTCAACAAATTTGGTGCAAACTGTGGCCCCGAGGCTGTCTGGTACTTGAATTATGCTTGTTTTTGTACTCGAAACAATCTTAATACTATCATACGCAATCAGATTAACCCATCTACATTTCGTACCGAAATCGGTGGCTTTTTGATGTGTTTGCAGACTGGTGCTCTTCTCCTGGATGGGAACACACCGAACTACTTTGGGAAGAACAGTCCAATCAATCTTGTGCTTGTTGGAGGTGCTGAATACTACAGAATCATCAATGGACTGGTGAGAAATTTCCTCTTTCTAGTGTTTTATATCAGTTCACTGCAACTGCAAGCAACCACCATCAACGCAGGCAGCGTTGCTGCTTCTACTGCCTTCAGACAAGGATTAGATGATTTGTTTGTAGGATTTGGAGGACAAGCTGCACCCTGGAGGTCCATTTGATCCCACCGGGGCTGGCAGATGATCCAGACCAAGCTGCATTGCTCAAGGTGAAGGAGATCAAGAAGGGGCGGCTCGCGATGGTTGTAGCTGATCCAATCGGCGACGTCATGCTGCGTTCAGGGCTCACGTCATCTTCGTATGAACGGTGTGACAATTTAAATATGTTGCGTTGGTTGAAGTTCTTGGCAGCGGGGATACCTTGATGGGGACATGGAGTTCGATCGATGGGGGTGCGTAGTTTAGGATGGTCCAGTAATCCTACTCCAATGCAGCCGTCCATGTTGACTCAAGCATGGATGGAATCGCTGCACCTGGATGGTTTCACGGGAATTAGGGCATCTTCACCAATTGATGAATGATTGTGCTTGTTTTCCTCTTCCTCTCTGTGGCTCCCTACAAATACACGCCGACCGGGCCTCGACGACCGAGCAAGCACGCACGGCGAGTAGGAGATTCTTGTTTGCCTTCTTCGATCTTTTGGGCGGGCCGAGACATGGCGGCAGCGAATTCAGTTCCTCTCATTACCGCTTACAAGATGGGCAAGTTTGATCTCTCGCACAGGTCCGTATCCTTCATTCCCCTAAAGATCCCGTTAGGAGTAGACAAAAGGTCGATTATATGGCGTGCAGTCCTCCGACCGTTTGTTTGCGATATGATGTTGAGAAAAGATAAGATCTTTTTCGTTTTTCGCCCTTGATTTCTTGCTGTCGATGTTGTTAGAGTGGTGCTAGCACCATTGACAAGGCAGAGGTCATACGGGAACGTCCCACAGCCGCATGCCATCTTGTACTACTCTCAGCGAGCCTCCAAAGGCGGTCTTCTGATAGCGGAGGCAACCGGGGTTTCAGACACCGCGCAAGGGTGAGATTCTGGAAGCCGCAAACTTGTTTCTTTAGTTCAACTGGTTCTTGGATGGTATTCTTGTGTTTGGTCATCGAAAGCATTGTTGTTGTTGTTGTGTAAGGTATCCTTGCACGCCCGGCATTTGGACGAAAGAACAGGTGGAAGCATGGAAGCCGATTGTGAATGCAGTTCATGAAAAGGGTGGCATCTTCTTTTGCCAGATTTGGCACGTAGGAAGGGTTTCAAATCATGGTGCGTTCCCTCAACACTTCTGCCTTTGTTTTCTTGGTTTAGGCTGAAGTGAAGTAGGGTGGTAGGCTTAATTGAAACTCCTCTGACCATATGGTGGTTCTCATGCTTCAGAGACCCACTAGGTATTCGACAGAATACCGAGCATAATCTGATACCACTTGGAATTTTGGATGTTGTCCTTTCCCCTTGATAGACATGATGGCAAAAGATGGTTAAAGTATTACAACATTCCTTCATTGTGCTTATAAAGGCACTACTGGTTGATGCTTGCCAAGGTCTTGAGCTGTAGTCATCCGCGTTATATGCATTCAAGCTCATCTGATTACTTCTGTGCGCCATTGCAGATTTCCAACCCAATGGGCAAGCTCCAATCTCATCTACTGCCAAGCCAATTACTCCTCAAGTACGAGCAAATGGCATCGATGTTGCTATTTTTTCAACTCCAAGGCGGTTGCGGACGGAAGAGATTCCTTTGGTTGTCAATGATTTTAGAGTTGCTGCAAGAAATGCCATAGAAGCTGGTAAGAATATTGTATCTTTATTTCATATTCACGAGTTTGTATTTGATAGGAAGTCAAGTTTATGACAAAGCTTTTGCTATTGTGCTATACCATCCACACTAGCACAAAAAGAAAACAAGAACATATATGGAGCCACAAGTCGTGCCAAGAGCTTCATACTAATAGACCTTTTGAAATCATACCTTATGTTCCAGTTGAATATGCACTAATGATACCTTTTAGCATAAGTAATTCATGGATCATAAATGAACCTTAATGTTTGTGATGACCGACTGGTTATATAACTTATATAAAACACTAGGTATACGATTAAAATCCCTCGTACCTGTAGAGAACCCTACAGCCTAAACAACCAACATCTATGGCTTGTTCTTTTTTCTGCCCTGATTTCTTTTGTTTTTGATGGACGAATCCAAAAAAGGAAATAAGATACTATGCTACATGTCTGTAAGGCGTGTTGCCTCTGAAGCATGATCTGAGTACCTAGGACTTTCAGACTGAAGTGCAAGTCCTTGGCCACACAACCAACGATGTTTTCCTTATCTATATACGCTGTTAGATTCACTGAACTGGGAGGATCGCTGCCAAACAAAGTAGAAAGACAAAAGGTTTATTATTAAATTTTGGTCTCTTCCAGGCTCCAGCATTGTAGCTTAAGGCTTGATTACATTGGAAGTGTATGGACCCGATAATTAAAGGCCATGTGTTCAAAATTCCTAAAGCACCATAGTTCATGGTTCATTGGATTCTCACTGCTCCTTAGGCACCTTACTTTTTCTTATTTGTGCTCCTACTTTTTAAAGCTCCATCTGCATGATTTTTTGGAAACCTTTATTGCAGTAAGATATATATAATTTCTCTTTAAATTGCAACAAAGTATTGTGTTTTTTTATAAATAGGAAGCGTCTTTCACCTTTTAATTTGAAAGAACAAAATATTGAAAAACTTTAAGCAGGGGCACATGATGATTTACCATGATTCTATTATCATTTTATTAGAAAACTTTTGATTAACCGGAGGTAGCACATTTTCTTGGTGTATAGGTTTTGATGGAGTCGAGATTCATGGAGCCCATGGATATTTAATTGATCAATTCTTAAAAGACAAAGTGAATGATCGTACAGACAGGTATGGCGGAAGCTTAGAGAATCGTTGCCGCTTTGCTTTAGAAATAGTTGAAGCTGTGGTTGATGAAATTGGAGCTGACAGAGTTGGAATAAGACTTTCTCCCTATGCAAGCTATATGCAATCAGGAGATTCAAACCCTGAGGCTCTTGGATTATACATGGCCAATGCTCTGAACAAATATGGGATTTCATACCTTCACATGGTGGAGCCTAGGATGATAAATGTAGGAGAAAAAGTTGAAGTTCCTCACAGTCTTCTTCCTATGAGGAAAGCATTCAAGGGAACATTCATTGTCGTCGGGGGCTATGATAGAGAAGAAGGTAACACTGCCATCGCTAGTGGTTATGCAGATCTAGTTGCTTATGGGCGCCTATTTTTAGCTAACCCTGACCTGCCTCGAAGATTTGAGTTGAACGCTCCACTTAACAAGTATAACAGGGAAACTTTCTACATTCAGGATCCAGTTGTTGGGTATACAGATTACCCATTTCTTGATTCTGATTTGTAGATTACCAAAGTATGTACTGAGTTTATACTCCTTTGGTATCATGGAACTCAAGATTTGGGTGCTACAATAGAAATTTAAGGTTCAAATTTGTCTTTTGAATTATTCACTTTGTCAAGAAACAACTGTGGATTCAAGGAGTGTGATGCCTATAAATTGTTCTTGATTTCTTAGTCAAGAACAATATTTAATGCTGCAGGTAAACTTAGACTCTGTGGAGCTTAATTCATCATCTATTGCTGGGCTCTACTTGTCAATTCATGTTGATCTCACATGTCCTCAGGCCTCATTTAGCATGATCCAAGTCAATGCCAAAAAATTAAAAAAAGGTCTTTAGAGGTCCCAAGTTAGTAGAAATATGTCCCTTTTCTTTTTCTGTTTGGGAAAAAAAATCGTATTTCAATTTTTCACAAGATTAAGGTTAACAACATCCATTATCATTAATTTTATGTCATATTATCTAATTTGTTTTCATTTTGCATCTTGTCTTCAACAGAAATTAACTCAGTTGTTATTGTATGAATATATATATATATATATATATAAACATCTCTTTCTAACAATTGAATTCTCTAACAATGTTCTTTTTTTTTTATACCTAGAATATTCTCCTTCTCTTATGAATCGGCCCATTGGGTGAATCTATCTTGTTATAATATTTTTAATTATATTATATTATTTTTAATAATATCAAATAATATTATAATTTAGTAAAAATACTATAGCACAAAGTTTTATATAATTAATTTTTATTAAAAATATAATATTTATAGTGTTCTCACGTTGTGTTATAGTGTTTTCTACAATATCAAGAAAATATTAGAAATATAATTATATTATTGAAAGCATCGCAAGACAGTATAAAAATATTATGATCGGACCACACTATAGATGTCCATTAAAAAAAGGGAAGATATGATATTTTATGTATTAGAGAAAAAAGAATGTTGTTTGGGAATTATAGAGGATACTTGCAAGGAAAAATCTAAAAACAAAGGTTCTTTTATAATTTACCAATTATAAAAAGAATTTGGAAACTCTGCCTCAACCCTCTTTCAGTGCTAAAAAGAATTAATAGAAATATGCTCGTGAATCCTAATTTATGGAACATACCAACGAAGACCATATTCGATTTTGATATTGAATTTAAAAATTTTATAAGATAGTTTTGAGATGAATAATATTTTATTGATCTGAATATTGGATAGTTCAAAAATAATATATAAAAAAAATTATGTTGTCAAGATGAAAATATTGAGATGGATACATGGAATTACTAGGAAAGATAGAAAATACTTTTATTCGTAAACAAATATATATCACTTCAATAAAAGATATAAAAGAAAATCATTTAAGATGATATGAGCTGTGCTTATGAGACGTTTGAATATAGTAATTCAAAATTTTTAAATGATTAATGTTAATAGTACGACGAGAGATAAAGGAATACCTAAGAAGACTTTAATAGAAACTATAAAATTGAATCATACAAATATACCATATGAGTATACAACGGGGTGAGAAAAGCGACAAGAAGAGAAAGAAAAAGAGAATGAGAATACGATAAAAGACGAGGAGGAGGTGATATAGGAAAATGAGATGGTGACAAAAAAAATGAGAAAATGAGAAGTCCTAAAACTTATATTTTTTAAAATTTAATATTTTAACTGGATAACTCGAAACAAGGATAGTCTGTATTCCGACTAATAAATACTAATCAAATCATCATATCGAATCGTTTTGCATTCCTTAAAACATAAAACATAGACCTCACCTCATTGCCATGACTGCATCGGTACGATTCTATCGGTTTTTGCATCTCCTTGAAACATAGACCTCATTGCCATGGCTGCATTGGTAGAAAACAGTTCTTGTACAGGATTTACCTGATGTACCAAAAATATTTACTGTAGAAGCAGTTGACAGCCTCAGCATTAGTAAATCCATATGAGAAATAAAAAGTTACCTTCCATGGTTACTGTGTTCTGATGATGATACTCAAAAGTCAAAACATACAACTCCCAAATTATTTTGAGGCGACGGTCATCGGAATCAAGAAAATAACTTGTGGCTAATAACAAATCAGCATAAATTTAACATGACAAATAGTTATCGTTTGCCTGTTAGAGCTCACACTAATTTAACCTGGCCAATTAATGGTCTGTCATAAGCAATCACAAACAACAAAGAGAATGACTGCAATTTTTTTCAGAATATATAAGAGAATTCCATAATGTTGTTGAAGCTTCCTACTTTCTCTTGCATAATGATGCAACATAATCACATACAATGAAAGTTATTCCATGTTGTAGACATTTTACATACCCTTCATGGAACTGCAAGAATTCAAATGTCGGACAATTGAGCTAGCAATAATGGATTCTCAAGTGAAACAGGAAGGGAAAAAAAAAGAGGAGTTGGAGACTTATAAGATATAAAGACAGAAAAATCAGGAACCGTAGAGCCTAACACCACCAACTGGTCGAGCGTCACCAACGGACGTGGGCTGAACATGACCATGAGGTGCAGCACAAAAGCAAATGAGAAAACGAATCAATAACCCAGTTCCCAAGTTATCAAACTTTCGGATATTATCCGTCTTTGATGTTCCCATCCTGCTTCTCCATGCCATATCTGGAGTCTGCCACAGAAAGGTGGATAAGGAGACCAAGCATGATAATATGAGCAAGTGTTAGGAAGAGTAGATGAAAATTCAAATGTGAAGAGGGTTTGTGACTGGGTCAGGTCCAGCATCCGTGTCATTGTGCTTCAAGGAGAGATTGGCAAATTGGGAATCAAGGTCTGTACTCCTCCTGTGTCCATGTAAGGGAGCCGCCTGATGTTGCTGATAAAATATTCGAAGGTGAGCAACCTCTTGTTCTAGCATCTCTTGCTGGACTGCATTGTACCAAATAAACTTAAGTTTGAAAGTTCATGATATTATTCTGGAAAATCATGCACATTCAGTGAAAAATTTTGTAAAAGAATTGGAAAATTAATCTTCATGAAAAAACAAAATTAGGATGAATATTTTTCAAAATAAGATTCCACTAGGTTAAAATAGATAATGTTTCCCAGCTGGAGACTTAGGACAGCCAGTGTATTTTGAAGTGCATTCACCAAGAATTTCACATCAGCATATATGTTAAAAGCACCAAGGTCAGACAGCCTAAAGTGGTTGTTAAAATTTGGGGATTGGGTGTAGCAGAGCGAGTTTATGACCCACTAACTATGCTAGTATCATTTTGTGAAGCTTTTAAATTTATATCCAGCAATGATAGATATGATCTACCAAACATAAAGAGATTCATTTCAATAAAATGGGTGAAATCATAGGTATTCTTTTAACTGGTGCAAATGCTAGATTAGTCCCAAACCTATTAGATGCTTACAGCGTTTAAAAAGCTGCTCCTGGGATAGACTGTCAAGACGCTGCTTCAACGCTTTGTTCTCTAAGTTCAAAATAAGATTTTGTCGATCCAGAAACTCCAGTTCAGCTGAAATCCCTGAGCCTTCTGCCTATGAAAACATGAAGCAAACAAAATTATTATGAGATTCTTCAAAGTCTCCTTTTCCAAAAATAAGGCTTGCTAAGATCATTTTGGTCCGGGTGATCTCCCAAGACTTGCCTGTAAGGCTTGAACATTTCTCTCTAGCTCTGCAATGTACTGAAGCTTCCGAACCCGAGAGCGCCGAGCAAACTGCCTGGGATAATACAAAGGATTGTGCATGTAATTAGAAAATGGAACATACTCATCAACTTCATAGACTTCATAGACCTAATTTGACTCTTGCTAATGTTTGAAATGTAGAAAATCAAATTTTAAACAAACCTAACAACTAAGTGAAGCAGCACAATGAATGTGTTTCATCCAGGAGTGATCCAGTGTCCTTAAATTGTTAAATGACACATTGAAAAAGTAAGTTTCAACACCATAGCACGCTGCAGTTATGATTATTCATCTGTTGTAAAAAGAAATTCCAGCCTTTTATTGCTACATATCCATTTAAAATGAAACATTGCTTAATTGTGCATACCAATTGTCAGATTGCCTGATCTTTTATCCATTTCCTTCAGTTTGCTTTACAGCAAATATGAAGAAGGCATATACAATTCTAATCATTGAAGTCGATTATGGATACATGTAAAGGATGCATACCATGGATGTCAAGCACGCTAGGAATCAGAGGCGCAGGAAATAATAAGGTCCACAGGAATAAGCATTTATTTTTGTTAACTGACAAAAACTTTGAACAGACAAGGACTGATAAAGCTTCTGACTTGATGATGTTCATTTAGATGAACAACATTCTAGAATATTTTACAACCAACTCTCAAAAGATGCCACGACTTATGTATTTTACATAGAACTGTTGGCAATGTCTTTCTAAGGGCATAAATGACACAAAATCTAAAATAACAGCCATCTCCATAGTTTCTGCAATTTGTTAGCTTCACCTAATGCATGTAACTAACATTTACAAAAGAATTGCCACCTAAGTTAACAAAACCACCCTAAACTAGCAAAGATACACAAACCAGGGTTTGGTGTGTTGACTTGTACCACACGCTACAGGTGGTGCATACCAGTCTAACAGGATACCGACATGTGGACCTCCCTCTACCGGGCGGTACTGTCACATAACCCCTTATCAGGCGATACGGGGTCTGTATCGGACAGTAACAATCGAAATCCGATAGTTACCGACCTTTATCGAGGTAACGGTCAAATTTCGATCATTACCGATCAAGGGCTAAGATTTCCCTATTTCAAATGGTCCAATTAATCATTTGAGGCTTAGAAAAGGTTTTTAAACCCTTTCCACCTCCCTCTTTGAACTTATTTCACTTTCTCAATCTCTTCAACTCTCTCAAACTCTTTTTCACTCACATCGCTCTCTCATTCTCATATTTTCATTCTCCTAAACTCAACAAAGTTATATATTGATTGGATCAAATATATGAGGCTAATTTAGGAATATTAAAAGGAAAAACATTCTAATCAAGAGATATGTATTCTCCTTCTAGATTTTTATTGATTTATAAGATAATTAAGCATATTCTATGTGGTGTATAACTTAATGTCTAATATGTTGTTTGATATATTTTTGATGATAGAATAGTATTAATTAGGGAGTAGTTAAGGTCTTTAATGTTGTAATTAATATATTTATTATTTATTTTTTTAATTAAATACTTAATTGGTCAAATCTTTATATTTCATACGTATTAAGGTGATTTATATGTTTGTGATAGTATAACATATTTATAGAAATGGTGCAATTCAAATCATTTCTTTGATTCAATAGTAACGAAAGGGCGATTTGGAACATGTCACAAAACTACTCCTGAAAGCCTCAAAAAAATGTTACTATTCTTTCCTAATTTATATTATTTTTACTAAAATTATGCTAAATTTATATTTATTTTCAACTTAAAAACCCTAATCTTAATTTTTTTTATTTTTCAAGTATTTTTTGAGCTATTTTCGATGATTTTGAGTGTAACGTTGGTATGCCCCTGCATGCCGTCGGTACACCTTGGTACGTGCCATACCGACGCTTGGTCGGTACACCAATATGAATCGAAAATGCAAATCTTGACACAAACTACTAGAATCCACTAGAAGGTTTCACTAGTAATGCTTATTTGCATTTCACGGTGTAAAAGATGAAAATTTACAATGCTAGCATTCATCTACTTTCAAAGTCATCAACCTTTTCGGCAACATAGAAGACAACATGCACCAGGCACATTAGCCACATAGGAATGGTGTAGAATCTAGATTAAAGGATATAAGAATGCAAGATGTTACTTCATCTAACCTGAGAAACTTTAAATAAATAATAACACAACTTTTGGAAATGACATATATTTCTGATCTAATTGTATGAAGAAAACATGGAATTAGTAGTGCACTAATTTAGTTTACAGTATCCAAGAGAAAACCCACTGGTACTTTCAATTAATTGTACAGACAGCCTCAGTTCATAATTCTTTCATATGATAAGAGGAGCATTTGTCATAGATATGAAAGCCTTATAGCAGTCTCACGACTATCAATCATGTCATAAATTTAATCAGAGTTGATATGGAGTCAACAGCACTATGTTAATCAAAGAAAAATAGGTTACACTAGCAAATTATATTTTGCCATCTTCTGCAATAAAAAAGTACAAATTAATAAATTATAAACAAGGAGTTAACCAAAATAGTGCAATACATTGATATCCGCCAGTTGATTGTTTAAGTGATGACAAATATCATAAATTTGAAAAAGAACCATATCTGAAAATGTCCAAAGTCTATTTCTATTGTACAATACAAATGATGCCATGAGATACAAAGATGAGGGTGGCCTGAGCCATTATATTGAGCTTAACTGAGAAGATAAGTGTGATGTGACACTGCTAGGAGAAATCAAGGATTCAAATCTAGGTCCGATACAGGTTTCGGTAATCTAACCTAATGGACCCCTATGGTATGGATATACTGAGTGGTATATAAACCTGTACTTGCAGTATCACCGAAAAAAGATAATAAAATAACAACAGTCCCTGATCAGACCAGTAAATAGTGGTCAAGAGTCAAGACATACTGTCTCAACTGTTATTTGAAACCATGGGAGAATTTGTTCTAGACAATGAAAGAGTAGAGAAGCTTACAAAAAATTGTTATCGCCTTCACATAAAAGGATCCCTACCAAGAAATGTACATTTTTGGACAAACACAGAGAAACAAATGAAGCAACAAGAAGGAAGAATAACAACTCACATTAAAGAAGATTTTTAGCAATAGAGTATCTTGAACACATCAGAATGCTGCGGCATTTTTTATTAATCTCAGAATTCACATTAGGTATCTCTAAAACTGGCTTCCGCAAATTTAGATCACTGGTATACAGTAACGAATTTCTGAGTTTGTAAGAAGTGTTATATCTCAAAAAATCCACCACATGTTTGTGGTTATAACATGATGATATTTTTGTTTAGGGAAAAGAATATGAATATATAAAAATTTGACACTTGTGATTTTAATTTACTGATGTCAACATAATAAGTCTACAAAAGAAGGATGTTCATCAACTACCTGTTAACCAAAAATTATCCATTTTATGTAAGACTATTAAAAAAAGTGCAAACTAGTAATTTACAACAGCAATCCTCAGAATTTAATACGAAGCTTAGCAGCAGCATACATTTTCTTCTAGTTGATCATTGATGCCACAAGATTTGATGCCTATTTAAACTTTTACCATCCATATTATGGAAACTTGCAATGTGCAATGCAGAAACAAGAACTGGAAAAAACACAATATTGACTGTTTGCAAGACATCACCATGAAACTTACTGTTTAGCACTCCTTGGATCAGCTGCATACTGCTTAGAGAAGGAATCTTCCTTGTCTGAGGGGCATTTTGGATAGTTGGAAGATCCCTGCTGGTCTTTCTTCTCATCACTATCAGATGGCACTACATTGCGTTCTCTTGGAACAGGGTATGCTCTACTATGCACAATCTTATTCTTTCCCAGTGTAATACTGCCCATAGTTGTTGTAGACTCACACTCTCTATGTTGCGGCCTCCCAGATGAATTGTTCTCCACATAGTATGGATAATGATTTATGTCTCTTTGGTTATCAAGTTCATTCAACCCCCATGGACATAGTGTGGCAACAGTGCTCTGCCCGCAGCCCTCCAAGGCTAGGTTAGTGATACCAGAAGATACCTTAGCCCCACTCAGATATGCAAAAGAATCACTAGATGAGCGACGATGAGATCCTCTCTTCACAGGACTCTCAGGTTCATTAAGCAAATCATCAAGCCAAGGAGGTTGCTCATCAATAAGAAAACTCTCCGATGAAGTGCGCCGATGGTTTGCATTAGGAATGCCCCTTGATCCTGTGGCTCCATGGTCATCATAAAAAGGGGATAGGGTTGGAACGGGGCATTTTGGAGGAAGAAAGGATTGTTTTCCGATAGGCACTAAACTCCTGAAGCTAGTATTTGCCATGCGTCGTCTATCACAACCCCAAGCTTGAAAATTTCAGCAGAATATAAAAAAATTCAAACGAAATGGAAAATGAAATTGAAATTGACAAGCTATGCTGTGCATATTGATATAATTGAGTGATCAACACCACCGATCAAATTTTCATGCACCTGAATGAAAGAAGAGACGATTTGATAACATGATCAGTAATTGGAACTATATTAACGCATTTAGATCTCACCCATTCGTGAATAGACATCGAAAATAAGTATATAGTATAGAGATTGACATGATTTTTCACTGAAGCCAATAAATACTTCACAAATTCCTTCCAATATACGGGTTTTAGCATAAACATGCCTAAAAAATCAAGATGGAAAAAGGCACATTCCACGATATTATGTTTTACATCATGAACCGCACACATAATTTTCCTCCAAACAAAAAAAAAAAAACTAATCTAACAGTAGCTAACGTCGAAGATGAGGGAAAACTCGTCACCATCGCATATAAGCCATAGTTCTTCTCTTAGATCCAACAGAACAAATATCGGGATCAGAAGAATCCGGAACGAAACCGACCGAATTGAACAAAGAACAAGAAGAAGAAGTCGAACAGGCCAAAGCTTACTGATCCGGCACGAATCCTTCATTCTCTCCCATCCGAATCCCCCAGATGAAGAGCTGAAAGAAAGGGAGGAAGCCGAAGTAAAACGACGATACGAATCCCCGACCCACCGAACCCGACAAAGCGCAAAAGAGGACGACGACGACCCTCATCGGGTGCGCTTACCGCCCTCGCACCCCCCCCCGGGGCCCACTTGTTGTGCAGTGCGGGCCGTCTGATGTCAGGATCCGACGGTCGAGAAAGGGGCTGATGAAGGCGGTGACAGCTGCGGCCACGTGGTGCACAACTGTCGAGGGGAACGTGTCCGCGCCACCCTGCGTACCTTCCGATGTGTGCTTGCAACTACTTAGCACCAGCGTTTCGACAGCCAACTCGAGTGAGACAACCATTGGGATTTGTGTTTCTTAGAGATATTTATGTCTATCCAATCCATTTTTTAGAGATTTTTGTGCCACGGATAGATTCACACCTTACTACAAATCCATGCGATCGGGTAGAATGTTTGTCTTTTACAAAGTCTAAAAATATTATGAATGATTTTTCTAGATTAAATTATCCATGTTATAATAAAAATATTATAAAATTTACTTAAAAATACTATAAAGTATATTTCAAAACACTATAAATAATCTAAAGAGACTCTTGACCTCTTTGTAATGACCCATGAGTAATGACAATTAAAGAGATACAATATTATATCATTTTTATAGTATTTTTTTAATAATATTTATAATATTTTTGGTACATCAATAAAATACCGTAAATGAGCCAAATAAAAATATTATATATTTGAAAATTAGTAAAAGAATCGATAAAAAATTTGGATTTTTTTAATTAAAGGTATTGTTTAAAAAAAAAAAGAGGATGCACATTTTGAGAAATACTCAAAATATGAATTTTTAAAAAAAAATTGTTCATTAAATACTTATTAATGAAATATAGAAAAAAAAAATAGGAAGATAAATATCTAAGTTGGATTATTAATATATTTGATTATTTGATGAATATTTATTAGATGTTGATGTCCATTTTGGTTAGTCAATTTAAGCACCAAGTCAGATTTCTTTTGCTTGAAGCATGACCGTGGATGCTGAGTTGGAAGCCTACAATATTTAATGGTAGCTAATTATAATAGAGTTAATGGATCTAACATTTCGATTCTAAATTATGGGGATGAAGTGATAAGTATTGTGTCAAATGAGTAGGTATTAGTCAAGTGTTTCGAAAATAATAACTCCTATTTAGTTTTGATTGATCTCAACTGGTATTTACTTATATACATCTTATTCCTTCCCCTAAAAGATGCTATATTTGTTTGATGGTTGACAAATACGAGGAAATAAGATGTTTGAGAGCTACCATTCTATTATGACATATTTCGGGTCAACAAAGCCTTGTTGTTATAAGCTTAAGAGTAGAATATTCCTCATAATATTTTGTATTCTAATAATATTCTTCTCACCATTTTGTAGATGGAAGCATTTATTTTTGATTCAGAATTCAAATGATTTACTTTAAGGGAGTCATACTGAATGAATAAGTCACCTCCTCCTACGAAATCTAGCTTTGAGGATGCTCAGGTTGACTCGGACCTCGTGACATGAATCGATGATCAGTTGTGACACTATCAAAATTCTAGAAGAATTTATACTTTTCAAGATAATTGAATACATAATTTAGTCAAATTTAGGCAAAGAAATCACATCACAGATTTCCAAATTGTTAGGTCCTTTGTCTCAGACTTGGACTCATCCCTTCATGCTCATTAATGCTCCCTTCATTCCTTGTTCTAAATGCATGTCACCGCAGCCCACACAGACTTTTAATAGATGGGTCTTCACTTCAACGCGTGAATATTGTCAGGTGCAAGATCTAAGCTAAGGTTTACATGGATAAGAAAGTCATGGATGACCTACTTGGAATGGTGGGAGAGTTAAGGTTGTGCCTACAGTAGGCATACAGAACACCCCTTCTTCCACACCCAAATCAAGTCTTCAAAGAGAACGAATGGAAGAGGCAGCAAAGTACGAAGAATAGGAGGTGGAAGGCATGGAGTAGTGGCTGTTGCATGTCTCAACTTAAAATGAGTCGCAATACATTTTATTTTGCGTTTTATAGTGAGAGAGAGAGGAATGATGATCGAGAGATGTGGTGAGAGTTTGGTGGGAGAGAGCCGTCTCTATTTCTCTCCAAAGAATTATACTTTATTCACGCTTCAAATTGATGTTTGATGTCATATACAATTAACTAAGGACCGACAATGGCGTGAGGAAGATGAACAGAAAGGATCACAAAGTATCTTCAAATTGATGTCCTACTTTATTTTCCTGACATGTGGAAGACCTAATTCACTTATATCACTCTGGCAATAGTGGAGGAGTTCATCACCCAACGTCTCTTCTCTTTTAAATGCTGGCATGGAATATGATCGTCTTTCCGATTTATGTGGCTCAGGAGGTGGCAGGCCAGAAGCATTGATGAGCAAGAAAGAAGTGCAGAAAACGATATTTACTTGCTGTGGAAGATATGAACAGTTGGTTTCCTTCACATAAATGGCACGAGATCCAGCTTAATTAGGTCATTATTACGCTTTAAGTATAAGAATATAATGTGGTGAAGCACAGCTGACCTAACAACTCTCAGACGACCGAACAACTCGCAGCAGAGAGATCAATCCATGTCATTGCCAAGAGCAGGAAAACGCACGTAACCTGAAGCTTGGTCAACTCCCTGCACAACACGAAGCATACGACTTTCTCGTCTCCGTCCGACAACAACGTTGCATGGAATAATAGGAGTTACGTGTCAGCGTGGAAGTCAGAAGTCTTGAATTGCTCGGTAAACTGGTTTTGAGGGAGACCGATATCAACCTTGGCATGGATTCTTGTAGCATCGGAATAAACAATATTTTACTTGGTTTATGATTTCCGTGTTCTTCTTTCTCTGTGGTGTTCAGTGTCTTTTGTTTGTTTACTTCGACCATGATCAGGTCAAGTATGTTTAAATGGAGAACAGCATGCAGGTAGTTCAGAATGCTCGACATGGGCATGCTTCCATCACAGACGAGTAAGTACGTTCTCGAGTCAATAAATGCTTGCTTCGACGATCTCATTTTACTTTCTGATGCGCCGTTTCTTACAGGGAGAACGGAGGAGTTGGTGGTCCTTCTCCCGCAGTAATTAATATGACCATCTGGTCCTTCTCTATGCCCTATCTATCTACTCATGTCTTGTGAGCAGAACTCTCCCAACAAAGCTGTGTCGTGGCGGTCTCAAGGAAACATCTTAGACGACTCTGTGGTTTCGTAGCCCTACGGAACAAGCACAGAGGTTCGACCTAGACTTCAACATCCGAGGTAAATTTTTATGCATTAAATTGTCAACCATATCTCAGCCAGGATATTAATTGTGGTGCCTACCACAACCACTGCCTTCGTTCTCCTTGAACACTTCCCATCCCTTCCCAGTCCGATGGGTTTGGAGCAAGGTGGAGAGCCGAACAGGCATGGCAATCGAGGCACGAACCATGAGCTGTTGGGCTTGCTTAGGATGACGTCCGAGAGAAGCGGCTCGTCCGATGTGAGGATCGCGTGGTTGCAATCTCAGTTGATCGGCCACGATGTGGTGTTCGACACCCCTTTCGGAGAGCGCCTCCTGATCTATGCTGACCATACTGCGTCGGGAAGGAGTTTGCATTACATCGAGAACTATATCCTGCAATATGTTCTCCCTGTTTATGGTACTTTTAACTCTATATATCCTCCTCTTTCCCTCTGCGATTCGTGTGTCAATCGATACTGGGTTGTGGGCACTCATCCATGTTCTGACTTAATTCTCAGGAAACACTCACACGGACGATAGCTTCGTGGGGAGCAAAACCACAAGAATGGTGCACGAGGCAGCAGATTACATCAAGCGATGCATGGGCGGAGGAGCCGAGGATGCGCTCATGTTCTGTGGCTCGGGCTCCTCCGCGGCCATCAAGCGCCTGCAAGAGGTGATCGGGATAGCAGTGCCTTCCACCATGAGAGAGAGGATCGTCGCGAGCTTAAGCGACGAAGAGAGGTGGGTGGTCTTCGTCGGGCCGTACGAGCACCATTCCAACCTCCTGTCATGGCGGCAAACCACGGCGGAAGTGGTGGAGATCGGCATGGACGAGAACGGCCTGCTCGACATGGAGGCCTTGAGGCTCCACCTCACGTCCTCCAAGTACGCCAACCGCCCGATGCTGGGATCGTTCTCGGCTTGCAGCAATGTCACCGGAATTCTGGCCGACACCCGCTCATTGGCTCGCCTCCTTCACGACCACGGTGCCTTCGCTTGCTTTGACTTCGCTGCCAGGTTAGCCATGCCCCACAGAATCCCATTCTTTGGTATATTATCAGACGTGGACTACATCAACTACGTTCATATTTGTTCTCATGTTGCTGCAATATTTCTTGGTGAATCTCCCATAACAAAAAAAGTCAGGTTAATTGCTTTGACACGCCACCAGGTCAATTTCTTTATTCAGAGTTAATAATATAAAGAAAGAACAGTAATGTTTGAGATATGATTCTATATCGCCACTTGCTCCCCACATCGAAGCCTGCAGCACCTGTCAATGCGATCGTCGGTCTCTGGCTCTTTCAGCTGGAAAACCTACTTAATCTACTCTTCATGGACAATATTTCGATGTTTGACTTTTTTTCGGGACGCGTATTCTAGTCTTCAACGCTTTACTTGCTCAGGTACTGGAAACACATAGGAAATGGCAGTCCAGATCACAAAATGTGATTGCTTGCATGACTAGCCAAGCTTACAAGATCTAAAATCTTTGTTTAATGACTAAGATTCTGTGGATTACTACTTCCTCCGCCGTGGAGGATGATCAGCTGAGGTTTCATCTTCTTTCTTCTGCTTCTCTGCCACGCAGTGGCCCATACGTGGACATCGACATGCGATCGGGAGACATGGAAGGATATGATGCGGTGTTTCTCAGCCCACACAAGTTCGTGGGAGGCCCCGGAACTTCCGGGATCCTTCTGATGAACAAAGCTCTGTATCAGCTCAAGACTTCTCCACCTTCCACTTGTGGAGGTGGCACTGTCGCTTACGTCAATGGATTTGACGAGAAGGTGAACTACATGAATCCTGCTGATCCAGTAATCTACCTTGAACGCGGTCGATGTAGGATTTTTCTCGAGCCATGGCTATGATTTCTTTGCAGGACACTCTGTACCACGCTGACGTCGAAGAGAGGGAGGACAGTGGAACTCCACCGATCATTCAAAAGATCCGAGCTGCACTGGCCTTCTGGGTGAAGGAGTACATCGGCCATGATCTCATAACCCTCCGGGAGCAGGTCTACACCGAGACAGCACTCGGAAGGCTCCTCTCGAACCCAAACATCGAAGTTCTTGGCAACACGTCGGTCAAAAGGCTACCCATATTCTCCTTCCTCGTCTTCCCTTCTTCGCAGAGAAGGAAGACGGAGGGGAAACCCCTGCACGGGCGTTTCGTCGCGAAGCTGCTCAATGACCTCTTCGGCATCCAGGCTCGCGGTGGGTGCGCCTGTGCCGGTCCCTACGGCCACCATCTCCTGGGAGTAGACACGGATCTCTCTCTTCGTATCCGGTCGGCTATTCATGAGGTAACGAATCCGAGAGTTGCATTACCGCCTCCATGACCAGCGGCGACGGGATCGTCTCAGATACGCCATGGATCATTTTGGCAGGGATACAACGGGCTGAAACCTGGGTGGACGAGGGTCAGCTTCACCTACTACACGTCCAAGGAGGAGTCTACCTACGTTCTCGCCGCGATCGAGTTCGTCGCCGCGCACGGGGATCGGTTCCTCCCTCTCTACCATTTCGATTGGGTCACCGGCGACTGGACCTTCCGTAAGCGTGCGTTCAAGTACCATAGGATGAAGGAGGAGCTGGAAGATTTGTGTCGATGTTTGTTTGGAGATGCTACCACCGGTGCGAAGAAGGAGAGGACACCGTGTCCGAAACCAGGAAGAGAAGGAAGTGCAAGTGCGAGGATGAAGCGATTCGAGAGTTACTTAGAAGGTGCTCGACGAATTGCCCTGTCGCTCCCGGAGCGCGCAGGCTGTGGCAGTGCGCCAGAGGGGATTGATCCCAACCTCATAACCTTCAGAATCTAATCCATGATGCCAATCTTTTGTTAGGAACACAACCAGACGTAGTAGACGGAGAGACAGTGATACATAAAAGTGAGCAGATGTCTTAATCTTGCTTATTCTTTAAAGTAAACTCACACTTAATATGTCCAAAATTAAGAATTAAAAGAAAAGTAATGCGAAATCTGTGTACGGTAACTGACGGTCCAGTTAAGACTGACGGGACGTCACGGAGCAACGCTGACGCCGTCAACGAAAGGACGGGAAACGGTACCGGGAAACGGCGACCCGCTCGGCATCATCGGTCCTCCGCATGCCCATGCCAACGCATGGGGGTCATGGGCATTCATGACCGGGTGCCGCATGCCATCCACCCATGCGTCATGCTTGTGTTTAAAAAGGGCATGACGAGTGGTGGAATGACACGTTGCACAAACAAGGGCACATTGGGAATAGAATATTACGTGTGATTCCCCCAGTGCCCCCGCCGCCGTTAGTTGCTCCGTGACGGCTTCATGAAATTTAGATCCACGAGTAGATATTTTAGTAAATACTTGATAGATAATATAAATTATAAATATATATTTTATAAGTTTTAAATGATCATTCCATAAGATTTTTTTATTGCGACAAATTATCTTAAAAAAAAAATTATAATGGAGAAAGAAAAATAAATTATGCGATAAAAAAAATAAATAATTCTTTCTATCCTTTGCAAAATTTTAAATTATTTCTCTCCCTTGCAGTGCATCATGTGATTTGAGCCTATTGCTTGCCTTCATAAGACCATATTCATTAATATGATAATTGTCTACATAAAATTAAAAGAGATTCGAACTCCAATCAATAAAATATAATCAAAACTTATTAAACAATATGCAACTAAAAGATATAGTACTCATTTTTTTAAATGTAAAATAATATATTAGTACAAGTTTGAACAAATCCTTATTCCATTTGTCTAGAATTATCGAAAGAATGAAAGACAACAACTTTGAATAACTCTCTCTCTCTCTCTCTCTCTCTCTCTCTCTCTTACTGAAACTAGAAAAATGAGATGGTGGCATGCGTTGGATGATGCCATCTTTTAAATGTTCTTCCTACCAAACCATTAATGAGTCTCACACCATATAATTAATTCCTTTGACGTGTGCAACGATGGGGAGAGTTGAGTTGCGTTGCGTACTAATATATGATTCGCATGGGAAACCTTTTAGCCCAAAAGAGATTCCCAACCTCGCGTGGTTGACTAATGTCTAAAAGCTAAGCACAAGCAAGCAAAGAAAAAGACGATCAAAAACGGAAGTTTATTTTCAAGAAAATGGGCTATTATATTGTTTATAATAATACTATGAAATACTAAGGCCGAAAATAAAATAAATGATCGGATGAAAAAAATGATAGATTGCATTACAACATCGATATCCAACATAAAAATGATGCTCGATATGTTTTCATTTTATATGAAATTCAATGATAAAAAGATTCATGTAATGTTACGAACCTTTTTTTTTTTTAAGAAACTATTGTCGTAATCATTTATTGAGTTACGATGAAAAACATAAAAAAGGATAATTATAGTTGATAAAAATTTTACCATGTCACCGTTTTCTAAAAGTTGGAAGAATATTGATGAAGGGTTTTTAATTTATTAACATTATTTCAAATATATACACACACAATCACACTAATACATTTGTAATCAATCTATCCTAATGGAATCATAAGTTTTATGAATATATATATATATATATATATATATATATATATAATTTTAAATTTATTCAAAAAAAATCATCGAAGATTAACCAAAGATTGGTCACACATTATCAAAAGATCACAAATATTTTATATATAATAATCTTTATCACTTATACTCAAAATGAAATACATAACAATAATACAAATTATAATTATAATTATTATTATAACATTCAATCGATGCATATTTCTCAACAATTTAAGATGACCATACCAATTCATAATAATAAATAAATAGGCACAAATAGAGTCAATGTTTTCTTTAGGACCATAATAAATATCATATTTCTTTACATTATTATTCATTTCTTGGATGAAATGCGAGATTGGAAGTGATGGGTCAAAATTAGTGGTTGGTGTGCAACTTCTATCTATCTATCTTAGGATAACATCCTTCCAACCCAAGCTTTTTATATTGGACATGATTCAAAGCCAAAGTCCAATATCAGGTGGCTGCTCTTCTTCTTCGCTCGGTCCCCCAATCTCTCTAACCCATCATTGTGGATTTCATTGAATGCCATCCACCTCGTAGCGTCATTGTTTTGGTGAGTGAGAGAGAGGGTGCATCACATCACCACAATTCTCAAAGCCACATATATAGAAAAAAGGGTTTTCAAAGTTTGGATATAACATATTATTATTATTATTATTATTATTATTATTAATTAATTTCAATATAACACACATATATTTATTAATGGATATATAAAATTACAAAGATCTTTAATCATCACTCTCTGCCACAAAGGATGGATCTAAAATGTTAAGCATTAGCAACAATCCAATATATTACTTTGTTAACCTCATCAAAGTCATAAACAAAGAGTAGCATTGTCAAATAACTTCATAAGTTTAGAAACATATTGGTAGAGTAATATTTGTTAATAATCAATTTTTGACACCAAAAAAGATAAAAATTAACATATCAAATAAGTGGCACTGATCAAATCCTAAAAATAAATAAATAAATATTTTTATCTATAAAATATATTTTCTTAATCGTAAACGATTAGGAAAGATTGCCTATAAAAAACCTTCACATACATGGTAATATTTTATACAATCTTATATCTATCATTTACTAATTAGAACGAGTCGAATAGATCTATCGAAAATTAGATTGAAATCAAGATGAACTGGTCAATTGCTTGCACTTTACCATACACATCATCACAATCACACCCATACACACACAAAAAATCCCTATATAACTCATATGTATTGAAATATTAATAATTATTCACATATACCTCTTTAGTTAACTTTCATTTACAAAACTCAAGTTAATAGTTTGAGTTAAATATATCTTTAATGTTCTTGTAATATATATATATATATATATATATATATATATATATATATATATATATATATATATATATATATATGTGCTAAACTGTAATTTAAAGATATGGCAACC